CGGACAAAGCAAACCTCTACATTTATGGGGGCTACAATCCGGTAGAAGGTCCTTATTATGCTCAGTTTCCCAATACTATACCAAATACCCCGTCAAGGCAAGTGCTGGCAGAACTTTGGAAATTCAACTACACTACCAAAAAGTGGGCGGAGGACGTTTCCTCTGATATTCCACGAGCTGCAGCTTCTTCTTGCGGCACAATCGGCAACGGCAAAATTCTAGTATTTGGCGGGACAGTCTTTCCATTCGGCCATGTCATGAGCAATGATTTGCATTTATACGACATTAAATCAAAAATTTGGTCTAAGGTCTCTACGGTCGGTGTGGGCACCGAAGTCCCCAATAAGGCGTATGGCCAGAGCATATTTCTGCACGGCAAATACCTCTACGTGTTCGGTGGTGCTGTCAGTTTCTATGCAGAACCTGTATCAGAGCTGCACAGGTTAGACTTGAAGACCAAGGAGTGGCAGAGCCTCAGTCCCCGGGGGTTGGCACCCAGGGGGAGATATAAACAGGAGGTGGTCACAGACAGTCACAGGTCAGTGGCACCCTAAGCTTAGAGGTATCTCTGTATGTGGCAGTACTTGGTTCCTCAAATGCTGCATATATATATAATGCTGCATATATATATATATATATACCCTATATATATATATATATATATATATATATATGTAAGTTGACCACTTTAAAAAAATGAAACATGTTTAGCTCAAAATGTTTAAAAAGAATAAAATAATAAAATGTGGAGAAAGGGCAGATGTGCTTTGGTTGCTTTGTCTCTAGTGTTCATATTTACATTTTTAAAAATTCTCTACTGTATTGCTTGGGTATAAACACAATCAACAAAGTTAACAATATGTACATTTCCGTTACATCTCTGTAATGGTATCTCTCAAATGGCAATTGGGATTAAAATTAAATAGAAAGTAGGTCAAGAAAAAATTGAGAAAAAGATAATAAATAGGTAGTTGAAGCCATCCTTGTTCTGTGGGAATCTTCCTTGTATCATTGCAATGTTAGGGCAGATAAAATTGATGTTTGTTGACCAGCAGTGACAAGGATGGTAGCTGAAATTTATTTTTATTTTGGGTTTTTTAAATATGTGATATTTAACAAGCAGTTAAAGCTTCAGTGCAGTTGTTTTTTTCTATTTGTTTTAATTTATTATTTATTATTTTTTTGTACTAGCAAGGGTGGACTAGATGCCAAATCCCTTGGTATAAGTGATTTTAGAGTAAAAAAAGTAAAAGTTTTTTTTTCAGATGAAATCAATTGTAAATTTCTTCCATTTACCAGGCCAATAAAATGCCCAATGTATTTTTCAATTTTTGACATTTGAAAAGCAATAGGTACAAAAATTCTGATATCCTCAAAATTAGGGTCGTTTGCACTTGTAAACCATCTTTTCAATTTTGCCTGGCCTCACGGTATTTAAAGCTTTCTGGAATAATTAGAGCTTAATCTTTTTTCATTATGCTGGTCTTGAATAATATATAAAGAAAATACACATTCGTATCACTTTTTCACTTGAATTGGCTTATAAAAGCAACATGTATGAATAATTCACAGTTATAGCTGTATAGCTGTATGAGAACACAAACCAAGACATATTTGCATTTGAAAGTGATAAACTAATTTTTTCATGTACTTAAAGCACTGCAAAAGGTATGAAAAGCAAATGGTTGAATAACTCTGTACTTAGTATTTGTATTTGACATGAAAAAAGCTCTTGAATCTACAATTGTATATCTGGGCCTACGTGCTTACTGTACATTACTTTCAGAAAAATATAAGTAAATATGATAAGGCGAGTAGTTGATTCAAGCAAGAACTTAATTCATATATATATATATTGAAATAATAACTGGAAAGGGTGCTGGGGATTTACTAGTAGTTTGACATACTAGTAGAAATATTAGGAGATTTTAGAAAAAAGCAGGTGTGTCAAAGGGTGGATTGTAACTACTCTTTGAATATAGTTTTTTGTGCTCTGACAGACCTACAGTACATATACTATCCACATTCAAATTAGAGTGTGATAAAAAAATGTGCTTTGTCTTTTAAATATCTTTAAAAAGTGAAGTGTTATTTTTAATGTTATCAAGATTATGTTTTAATAAATATGAAGAGATATCAACTGCGCATTAAAATTGCTATTACTGGCGATTTGATAGAGCTAAAGACTGGCTTCAAAATGCCAATATAATCCTTTGACTTATGATTCCTGAGTGTACATTACCTGGATGAAACGGACATATGCATATATATATATATATATATATATATATATATATATATATATATATATATATATTAGACAAGTTACCCATTTAGGTCTAAATATTGTATTTTATCAGTCATTCAGTCCTTTATGGATTTTTTGGGAAAAAAGGATCATTGGTCTTATTTAGCTGTACAGGTTGATTGAAATTAAAGCACCTCTAGATGAACAGTTTTTTCTCCCCCTCAGGTTCTACATCCTAGGAGGCGGCCATCTTCTGGGAGTTGAAGGCTTGGATGTACTGTGTACCTTCTCTTTTGAAGACAATGCTTGGGAGGAAGTCTCCACGCTCCCAGATAGGCAACATGGCTACCCAATGCCCCGAGCGTGTTTCGCCTGTGTCCAGTGGAGGGACGATGTTTATATATTTGGAGGCCGCCATTATGCTGTTCCCCATACAAACCAGGTGTTAGGTGATATCTGGCACCTGTCGCTGAGGTCAATGCAGTGGACAAAAATGGGGCGAGATTTACCAAAGCCAACTTACTTCCAGAGTGCTGCATCGCCGTATAAAGGACTTGCATATGTGTATGGTGGAGTCATTAATGAGAATACTAGGACATCAGATTTGTATGAAATCCAAATAGGTGTTCTCAGTCTAGCTGATTTATGTTGGAGAAGACTGGTTGATTTGCATCCTGATCTCTCCTCGTGTGCCAAACAGCTTGCTGACCTAGGGGTACCTCAAGATTTTATTGAACGGTTATGGTAAATATTATCTTATATTATTATCCCATATAACAGAAAATCTATGTTTAATATATATGTATTTTTTACACTTATACCGCATGTTGTGTACCTATTCAGGATTTTTTGTGAAACAGATCTTCTCAATCTTTTTTTTTTCAAACAAATATTCTAGAATATGTAGGGATTGTTTTTATTATCCTTTCTTTTAATCTAGAATGGAAAATGTTCGCTGGTGCATGGTGCCACTACATTTTATTGGATTGAACTTTCTGTAAAGGGATAGTTAGCAATGGGTATTGATTAAAATTTAAGATATATTCTAGAATGTATATGTTTTTGTAATTTATTAAATTTTTATCTATTTGTTTTGGGATTGGAAATAAAAATGGTGGCCAGAGGGAAGGATTTGTTGATAAAAATATAGATTTGGTCGCCTTTTTGGGTTGATCTACCTGGTATCCTTATCTTATAGACAGTAATCACTAGATTCTGCTAGGATTTCTATTGATATTTTAGCAAATGTGAAACATAAACTATAGGGGCTATGTGAAAAGAAAAATGTAAAATGTTTAATTTTTTGTGTCATATTTATCCCTGATTTGATTTAAAGATTTGGTTTGGATGTAATCATTTCAAAGTAATTTATTGACGATAAATTTTATCTTCGGTTGCAATCAACTAATGCCAAATGTTGTTCTTAATGAACAAGTTATTAATTCGCAACTGTTACAGCTATTTAAAACCTGCAAACAGAGAGTGATGATTGTAATGCTGATATTTCTGAAGGGTGGTAATATAGTTGACAGTCCACCATGAATAATTTTTCTTTGAGGTTGTTATTAATGAAATTTTTCAAGTATGTATACTAGTGTATTAGACAGACTCAATTGAATATGTCATTTTTTTAAAGAATAATGAATGCAGTTTACTGCTGTGGGTTTAATTTTTCAATTTTGTCAAAGGGCAATATATTATCAAGGGATCCTATTTATTTATGAGGATGTAAATGTGCCAAAAAAATTGATCCTGAAGGTTCTAGCAGATGTTGGTTATTAAAAATATTTCGACTTTTTAAAGTTAAATTTGTTAGGTTATGGATAATATAAGTATAAAAGGAGTTGAATTTTTTTCCCCAAAGTTTATCTGTGTTCCTCTCTTTGCTATAGCCATATCAGGCATGTTTTTAAAGGACGCATTTATACACGATATAAATGGTCGTGTCTGATCTTATCTGACACAAATTATATTCTAGCTGTTGAATTGGTGTCAGGTTATTTCATAAGATCAAATATCCTAGTTAAATTTATATCTATGTTTTAGCACACATCAAAAGTGTATAATATTTAATAAATATGTGGTGCTTATAAAAATGTATATTAAATTTATGTAATAGGAAATGACATTAGATTACTAGTCAGAGCAGATGAAATAATGCACTAAAGACAAAATAGGAATGGTCATTTTCCGTTTTTAGAAACTAATTGCTAGTCAGACATTATTTCTTTATGCAAGAATTGTAATTTTGAACAGAAATGTACTCACTTAAATTTAAAAGTCTGCTCCCATAGCAACGGATACTTGTTTAAATATAATTAACTTAAATCCTGTTTTTAAGGATCTTGCTGTAACTATCAAAGAGAATATGAAAATAAATATCATTCAATATTTTTTGCTTATTTTGAGCAAATTTGCAATTTCCAAAAATTGCATCTATCCTAGCTATAGTTATATCATAATTTACCTTAAGTGTCTATTTTGTTCCTTCTTTCATCAGTATTATTTATTTTGATTTTATTTATTTAAAATTATATATACATATATGTTTGCACTGCTTTAAGTGAAATAAATAAATGGTTATTTTATTTTTATTTATTTATTTTTAAGAACTTCGTAGCAAGAGTAATTCATATAGCTGAATAATAGATGGTGAGTCATGTTGAATTTATCACGCGTATTTATAATCTGTGAGCTTTGTGTGACCACGCCTATTTTATCTTGCTCTTATGTGAAAAGAGCCCAGAAAAGGCACACCGAAAACGAGACTGTTGACCTCACACCCAAGGAAGCCATTTTACCTGACAGGTAGCGCGTCAATGAAAGGTTTATTTTATAGCGATCATTTGGGAATTTTTGTCAATAGGTGACACCGGTACACTTAGAAATAGTGAATTCAAACAGGGAAATGCCCAAGAAGTAGAGTAGATCGTTCCAGTTTCCAGCAGATCACGTCAAATTTCGAGCCCGCCGTGCCAGGTGTCATAAAGTTTTGGGTCGTGATTCACACAGGTCTTGAGTACGTCAACTGTGAAAAAGTTTTCTGTATCTTAAAAGTTTATTCGGAACTTAGCAGAACAACTAGCAGAAGATGACCATGGGGGATGAAGCGCTGTTTGCCTCCATGGTGATGCCGGTGGTGTTTGGACCTATTTTAGAAAAGGTGAGAATTTCATTTAAAAAAATAAATAGATAGATAAATAAATTAGAAAATAATTAAATAAGTTGTTGTCAGTAATTTTTGTAGTTTGAATGATGATACTGTAACACTTTTCATTAAAAGTTTCGAAGATACATGTGTGATTATTTATACTGTTTACATTTTGTGATATTAACAGTGACACTTTGGTTGTACATAGTCATGATATTACTGTATGTCTCTGTCATAGTTAACTGTGAGCGGAGATAGAAAATTATTGCTTCTGATAGTTCTGTTGAAAATGAAATGCTGATTCAACTTATATGAACGTTGTCAATCTTGATAAGAAAAAATACTAGTATTGTAAATTTACACTGTTGAAAAAAGATTACAACAGTAACAACTTGTATTTTATTGCACTGCAGTCTTTAGTAATTGCTCCAGTCGATTTTAAATTACTTTTTAAAGCTAAGTGTACTTCATAGTCACAAATATACAATGGATTCCTTGCCTTGAAAACCTTTTGCATTTATGTTTTACTTAATGATCCTATCAGTATAGCATTAGAGCCTTAGCTTCAGAAGATCTCTGATACATAAGTGGTGACTCAATAATTTTGGGAGACCTCTGTAACTTTTATCATAATGGAGATCAACTTTGAAAGCAAGAATACCATTTGTTATAATAGTAGTATTTTAATCTCCTCCCTCTCTTTCTCTCTCTCTCTCTCTCTCTCTCTCTCTTCCCCTTTCTAACACTAAGGTAAATGAAGTTATAAAAGATAACTCCTCTCTATTGTATATTTCAGCTTGAGAAGAGAGACATAGGAGCTGCACAAACTCTCAGAGCTGCCCTAACAAAAGTGAGCATTGTGTTGGGGTTTACATCTTCCTTAAAAAAAACTTGATATAAAGTATAACATATATCTTGTGTTCAAGAAGGTGTTCTTATAATGAGTTGTATTTCTTACCTATAAAAGAACAAAATGTGGAATAAGACTCCTTCTCTTATTGTAATGACTCTGTATACATTGTCATTACTCATTATTAGACATTTACATGAATCATAGCAACATTTTTTGCTGTTTTTTTATCACCAAGTTGCTCAGGGCTGTTTTTTTAACAACGATAATAGACCTAATTCTGTGAATTATGATACTGATGTGTTTTCCCCTTCAGTGATCTGGTTTAGTTAAGGTGAATATTAAGTTGAATTTATCTTCATTTGTCACATGTTAATGTCACAACACACTGTTTAGGAAAACCAGGAAGTGGTATGCTTGACATGTTTTTAAAGGTGTTTTTTTAGAGGAAAGTGGGTGTTTTGCCTTCGATAATGTCCTGATGATAATAGGTCTTTTGAAATTACCAGAGTACTTATAAAGGGGACAGGTGTGGCACAAACTATATATGTGTGTGTGATATAGCTTATAAGTTACCACTTAAAGTGTGGATCACCATTTTGATAAAAGTGAGCTGCAGAACCTTTCTATATGAATTTGATAATTGGATTCTAAGGCTTTCTATATAATAGGGAACGGCAAACTCCAGCCACATGATGATAAGAAATGTAGTGTATAATGGCAGCACTGGTCCAATGTAAAATGCCAGTAAAATGAAAGCAGTGTCAGTAAATTTTTGTAAAAATTGACAAATTCAGTACTGGTCACTATATCTGGTTTGGGCCAGAAGATTTTTGGACCCTAGTGCCCTAAAGAGTTAGTAGGCTAAAATGCTAGTTGGCTAAAAAGGTTTAAGCACAGACTAAAAAGACGTCAGGATTTGTATATCATCTTTAAGTCTTCATCATTTCAGGCTGAAACTAACCACCCTGGACTGGCTTATGACATGGTGAAAGGCATCCTAAGGAAAGCAGAGCTGGCAGGAAAAGTAGACATGTGTGAAAGTCTTCTCAGGTTAGAGGGACTCAACCAGTCAGATGGTGAGTGGCTCAGAGAACTGACTCTAGTGGTCTGATGGTTTATGGCTTGTTGTGTTGATATGTTATGTTCTTTCTGTATTTTTATTTGTAACAATTAGTTAAAATTACTTCCTGTTTGCATTTGTATTACTGAAAATATTGAGTGTGTGATATATTTATATGTATGATATATATATACATGAATTTGAATTTTTCGCACTTTATAGTGTTTAGACTAATAATCTTAAAAAATATTCTTTTTGTCCAAAGAAATCAGTAACTTTTTAAAATTCTTCTAATCTGATAATATTATCAGATCTTCTTATTAATTGCCTTGGACTGATAGCTAATAGCACACATTTTTTTAAGGCATGGGTTATTATTATTATTATTTTATTTATTTATTCATTTTTCGCTGCCAGAGTTCCGCATTGATCGTCCAGAACCAGCCTTCCAGGAGCTCAACCAGCAGTCTGCCACACTGAAGAAGATTCTGAGCAGGATCCCAGACGAAATTTATGACAGAAGAAAGTTTTTAGAAACTATTAAGTAAGTTCTGCACAGTCTGAATTCTCCTTAAAATCCCATGTTTTATTCTTAACAGGATATTACTAAGGGAAAGAAAAGCTCACCATTTTGTGAAAATTGTTTAATATTTTTTTTCCTTGCCGTGCAATCATATGTAATCTTTGGCTGGAAAAGTTTTTAAAGTAAAACATTGATGCCATCAAAAGTATCCTCCATTGAAAGCAGTTATAACATTCAGTTGGAATATAACTCAAAGATGGTTCATGACCTTAAAATTGTAGCATTAGTTTATCATGATTGACGATATAATTTCTTCGCTCCAGGGACATAGCTAGTGCCATTAAAACTTTACTGGATGCAGTGAACAGTGTAGTCAATTATATACAGGGACCAGAAAATAAGCAGGTACTTGTATAGTTATCTGACCTCAAAAATAAAATACTATTATTATTTTCTAAAATACTATTATTTTTTAACTTGACCTTATCACTTTAATTAACTTGAAAAAGAAAAGCGACTAGCAGTTTTACCATATTAATCTTTTTCGCTAAATTGGGGAAATATGAAGGATTAAAACTATAAGGCAGGATCATAGATGGTGAGCAAGACAGGGGGTAGTGTGAAATGTATAATAATTATAATAATTATAATTATTATAATAATTATAATTATTATGATGTGTCAGTTTAAAAGATGAAGGGGGGGGGGAGGATAATTTTTATACAAATGTTCATATGTTGTTCTATTGCCTTTTTGCAGTTACTTGACCAGAGGAAAAGAGAATTTGTGAAGTATTCCAAAAGGTTTAGCAACACACTTAAAGAATTCTTTAAAAATAACCAGTGAGTATTTGAGAGTTACTTTTATTCAACTACGTAAAAATGCATTAGAAATAGAGGATGTGCAGCTAGTTTGAGTTACTGTACTGGAAAAAGTGCAAGAATTAATTAATACAACTTGTTTGAAAACTGACTGTCTGACTGTCGTGCTTTATAAACTTTTCTGTGATTTATGTGAAATTTTTATTGTCAGACTTTTTTCCATAAAGTGAAAAAAAAGCACTACAGAGAAAATTGTTAATTATAATAATTATTACCACTTTTGTTCTATGTTTTTGGTATAATATTTCTATAACAATTTGAACATTTTAAGCCATAATATTCTGTTATTTCTGTGTCCAATCATTAAACCATGTGCATTTGTAATTCCAGGAAATCGGACGTATTTCTCAGTGCAAACTATCTGGTCAATCAAACCAGTGTGATAATGAAGACTGTGAAAGCAGCTTGCTGACTTTGAACATTGTGCTGGTTGTGACAAAGCAAGGCACACCTAACACATTCTCTGCATCCCTGTGCAGAGTAATATATGAATAGTTAACTGCCAGATCTAGTAGTCTGATTAGATGACATCTTCCAATGTGAGAATATAAAAGAAGAGGATTATTTTAGACTGCTAATTGATATATGCATAGGGAGATCTGTAGTGTGTTGTTGAGGACTGATGGCGGAATCAGAATAATTATTTAGTAAATTGGTTCACGAGTTGACTGAAGTTGAAACTTTTGAGGCATTTTTGGCACAGGCTAGGTGAAAACAATGTGGATGATTGGTTTCTGTGGCCATCAGATGAAATATTTTCTGCAGCAAACTATTTTCGTATGAGCAGAACAGTATGAAAAATCAACCTTGACTCTTCTGAAGGTCAAGGTTAGACACTATTTTCGAGGTTTTTGCTTTAGACGGAGGAGTTTCAAGGGCAGCTCATGACATGCTAAAATCTTCACTGACCAGAGGGACAACTTGAGAGAAAATGGCAACCAATTATCATATATAAAAGCTATATTTATAAAAGGTCATTACGTTCTAGAATGAAAAATGGTTGGAAATTTTCAGGAGTTTGATGATTCATTAGGTATGGCCATGTTATCTATTAGAACACGAGGAATGGAAGTTCAGTTAATTGCTTAGTCTACTCATTGAGGTTGTTTTGGCATGAACTTGTAAGCTTATTTCTAATGCAGCACTGGAATCCTATGGTATAGGTTCTCAAGCAAATGAATATAAATAGGTGCTTCTCACTTTAAAGTGGAACCAAATTTTAGAGGAAAAAATGACAAAATTAGTTGCACTTACAAAAAGTAGTAGTGGTTGCTAAACCAAAATTAGGGAAATTAGCTTTTATATTTTGATAAGATCAGACAGGAGTTATTGTTGTTCAGATGTAGATACTGCAGTAATGTTAGCCAATAATAAGAAATATCTAGCATATTGTTAAGTAATGCTTGTAGACGTGTGATAGTTCAGGTTGTTTCAAGCTCCTAAGTTCAGATTGTAAAATACGTAAAAAGAAAGCTTGTGAAAATATGCTCACCTGAACTTGTGAATGAGCAAATTTCTGCAACGAAGCCGTTTGCTTTGATCTTGAAGAATTGGGTAATACTAGATGACTTGAAACGATTGCTTTCAATTAAACTTAGCATATAACGCATATAATATGCTGCACTTAAAAAATCTGTAGCTCTTAGTACAATCTAAGAAATTTGGTCGAAAAGTTTGTTAATTGAGGAAATATGATTGCATTTGAAGCTTTGAACTGCTGATTTGAAATGTGATCATGTTATCTGGTCAACATTATCCAAAGTAAAAAGGATATTTTTATTTGTATGTATATGGCATTTATAAAACTACCCAAAGGCATATTTAATGCAGATATATTTTACTCCAGATAGTTGGGAAAGATTGCTGTTAATTTTAGTCTTTTCCCTTGTGTATTATTTGTTTGACAGGTATATTTAAGGACTTAATTTAAAGTTTGCACCTTTTGGCCATTGCATTAATACATTTGATTGCGTCCCCTGCAAGTTAGAAGAAATTGTCCATAGAATGTTGGTCTAAAAATCTAGTTTCACTGTATCCTTATCCAAGGTATGACAAGGTATTTAGTATGTTCATTTTTGCAGCCTGTACAATATGTCATTGTTGGCACATTGGTTGTGATTTTTTATCTGTAATTCCGATTAAAATTTGTATCTCGGGCAGGGGCCGAGCTTTGAAGTATGCATATAATGAACATGTGTCCTGTCAAGGGGAGTGCATGGGAATAGCCCATTTTGTAGGGAGGGGAATAGAACAGCCCATATTGTTACCCATATTGAAGTCACTGTATTGAATAAGATTTGGAAATTAATTAATTTATTTACTTCAATGAACAGTACTGTTATAATTGTTAAGAATATGCAGCACCATGGTATGTATGAACTATTAATCAAAACAATACTGCTACAAAGTATATCAAAACAGAGGGACAATTAAATTTTCTGAGGCCGAGAATACACTAGAGGCACTGTATTACTGTATTAATTTGAAAATAGTTATAAATATTACTGATAAATAATAAATTAAAATGAATTACAATTCATTTTTTTTTTTTTTTTTCAGATTTTGAACTATTTTGGGTTATTGGATGTAGACTCATCCACACACAAATTTCAAGCACATCAGGATCTGTGTTTGGACAGTTCCCATTATCCTAGATATTTTTGAAAAAAAAAAAATTGTCTGCCGACTCCTTAACACTAGTTTCAAACTTGAATCTAAGAAAATGCCAATAAGATGAAAACAGAAATCTTACGTATCAAAATGTTTATTTCATATAGTGAGAAGATTAACTTTGACACTGAACAGATAACAAGTTAATAATAATATTAATAATGATAATAATGAAGGTGCTTAAACCCAGTAAAACAAACTATGGCATCCTATAATTATAATAATACTTACACAAGACTTGGACAACACTGGAGGTAAGCAGTTTCACTTTCACTATTACTAACAAGTGCTCAACAGACTGCATTTAAAAAAGAGAAAAAGCAAATGCTTCATGATGTTTTCATTTTTATCTACAGCTGGTGCCACCATGCTGGTTTTTCATCACATCATATTACGTCATTTATTTTTAAAGATTTGTCAGATTGTCCCCCACTTAGTACAGAAGACAAATATTCCACAAAGCCCTCACCCCCCCCCCCCCATAACACCCCTTACCCTTAAATTAAAACCTCCACCCCACCCACCCACCCTCCCCTTTTTACCACAGGTATCTAGCAGCATATTAATGAATGAAAACATTCAACAGCATTTCCACTATTTTCTCCACTCTTGATTACCAATCAATCAGAAGAAAAAAGTATTAGAAGAATTAAACAACCCCTAACAATTCACCAAGGTAGGTCTACTGATTTTTCAATGACATTTTTTTTTACTGAAAGAACACAAATTCCCAAATAAATGCTTATAACTGTTCTTCTCACGCCGCAGGTTTTATACCACACATATTTTCACTCCAACTGCAAATGAACAAAACAGTCAAGTTTTGGCAATTTGTATAAGCAATCAAAATATCTACCTTCATTTAGAAGCACCCTATGCATACTGGTTCTCCACTCCACTCCCTACTGTACAACTTTTCATAAACAGACAAATGAAGTGGAGAGCAGCATTTTACCAATACAATATTAGGTTGAAAAGAAGAGGAAGAGACGCACAATTTATTATAATATATTACCTCTACGTGTAGTTGTGCAGTACCTTTGGAAGTTTCTTCTTATACGCACCTTGTTGTACACCCCATTACAAGTCCTAACCCCCTTTTAAATTAACCCTCCATATAGTAATATACTGTGCAACAAAGACCCTTTGCATTAATATTCTAGACTTCATTCAAACCAAGTTGCAGCTTTGGTCTGTATCATAAACTTTTCATCTTCCAAATTTTATTTTTGAACTCACAATGTCTGTCCATAGATCACATCCATGCCAATGTAGTGTGAATTATAAATCCAGTCTTTTGTAAAGAAATGTGTATGTATTACATGGATGTTGACTAACCTTCATGAACATTTCAACCATGTGATCATATAATACTCAACAGTTATCAAATGATCATTTAGTATTGTGTTAGCAGGGGTTCCTGTTATATACTTAGGGCGCATTCCCATAGATTTTAGATCTATCTATCCCCGTGGGGAGTCTCACTAGATTACTGTCAAATAATTCGGCTTTAATGTCAGTCCTGCCTACTACAAGCTGTAAAGGGGTAATTAACTTTCGTGCCCGCTCGGCTGCCAGCTATTTAGCGTGAATCCCCAGGAAGTTAGGTCGATCTAGTTGGATCGAACTAATCTCTGGGAATGGGGTCTTAGTGTGAGGTTAACAGTTACTTCAAAACTGGTCAGGCACTTTCTCTAAGCAGAACTGTGCATTCAACAAGTACACGAACAGTCTACAATTTTTGCCAATCAATTTGCTTGTGTGAAATGATATTTTGTTTTAAATGGTACACACCTGCAGGGCTATTAATTTTGGCAACCCTGCATCTTTGTTGGGATATCCCCCCCCCCCCCAAAAAAAAAAAAAAGAAAAAAAAAATGATCCCCACCCTAACAGCATGGTTAGTAGATCAATGTGCAAACAAAAGTCCTTTTTAAATATAACATTGTTAAGCTGGGTCCTTGAAATAGTCTTGAATTATACCCCTTTTCAACCACTCTACACCACCCAAATTAACACATAGTGGTATCCTAAAAAATTCAGCCCAAGATTTACATCTACAATATCTTATACATTCTAACTATTTACATTAAATATATTTCATAGTCATATGTATATATTTATATATATATTAGAAAATAAGCAATATACCTAAAATACACCTTGGGTTTGAAGTACCTTTACACCAAAAAGAAAGAGAATATTAAGCTTCAATGTGCAAAGTACCATATAATTTTCCACTCATAACAGACGACATTGCAAGTGCAACAACAAAAAGCAGCAATGAATTCTGGGTAAGTTATCCCATAATATTCAGCATCACGTCTTTCCCATAATTTCAAAAACTTTTATACTTTTTTCTTGCCTATAGTTGCAATATTAACGTTCTAACTACTCATAATTGTGCTCTTATCTGGACGTAGAGTAATCACAATTTAAAGGAAAACATCACCGACTCTCTCGAGCAGGTTTTTTGACAAGATTTTCAATTTTTCTGTAGATTTTTTATAACTTATCATTTCTGTAACTTATTATATATTTAAAGTGAAATGTTGGCAGGTATAATTTTCATTTCTATTCATTTGGAATATTTCTGTCACAAAGTTACGTAACTACTGGGAAAGTCTGATAAAATAATCAAACTTACTAGATTGCAGCAAGAGAAGTTTGTATTATAGCAATTTATGTCGAAGCATTGAAGTATCATTTGTAACAATACACTGTGCCAGACATGTTAGTACAGTGAGCAGTCTACAGGCATCATAAATCGCCCCTTGCTATGCAGTGTGCTTATAAATACAATGGCTTCCTTTCAGGATATCTTAATCATTCACAGTAATAAAATTTTGAAATACTCTGGAGCCGATGCTTTCAACTGGGTTTCCCTGCTCAGTGCAATACGGACATAAACAAACAAGACACTTATTTTCTCCTAAAGATGGCAGCACTGGTCCCAAAGCACCTTCACAATGACATCGTGGACTGTGTCAAGCAGTTCCAATACATTTTTTTATCACGTCTGACACACACACTTCAAGCATGACTGTTCCAACAAACTCCTAATCTAATGTTTACCTTTCTACACACACTGCATCAAAAATCTTTCCAGTCTCACAATGTTCTATCGAGTGGCACATCTTTTTATCACCATGGTACACAATATGGCTGACCACCACGCCTGTAGCAGTTTCGATGCTTCGACCAGTTTTGAAACTGCACAACAAAACACCTTCCTTGTCTCACCTTTCTCCATCAGACCAGTTTATACACAGCATTTTTCACAATGATGCACAATTTGCCTTTCCAATCTACTGATAAAATTTCCACCGTCTTAAATTGCAGCAAATATATCCCGGTCTCACAAATTACAGAGATACTTTGGTCATACATATCTGGTCATATATTTATATATATAACTGTTGTATCTCCCAAACGTATAATACAAGAAGGGTTAAGGCAGTTCTAGTACTGGTCACATTCTCCAAGCAGGGAGACCCAAACATGGCTTTGTAGTACAGTTATCGTAGAAGGCTGAGCATTATGGAATTCTAAACAGTATGATATGGTATACTATCAGATGTTAAAGGAAAGGATTTGTGGAACCTCCCCTGGGAGCTGTGGACTGCTGGGCGGCCATGTTCTGTGGATAAAAAAAAATCAAAAGATGCACTGAGTTGATACTCTCTCTATTGCACTCTTTAAATGTGTCAGGCCCCATTAAACAAAAAAACTTATGTCAGGGTTCTCTTGCTAAGTTACATGTGCACATCTTACCTTATCAGGAACAGCATTTCAGCACTCTCATAGAAATCCTAGTCAACTTAACCAGAGAATCGACTTCAGTTCTTTTGTGAAACTGGGGCCAGGTCTTAATATTTTGACATGTGGTGACAAGAAAGTGACAAGAACCTCCACTTCTTTATCTTTAAAACAACTTAAAATCTACTATAATAATTAGAGAAAATTCTGTTTCAACTAAACATTTTCATCCGGTGTAGTCATTACTAAACAAGTCAGAGANAAATGCCAATAAGATGAAAACAGAAATCTTACGTATCAAAATGTTTATTTCATATAGTGAGAAGATTAACTTTGACACTGAACAGATAACAAGTTAATAATAATATTAATAATGATAATAATGAAGGTGCTTAAACCCAGTAAAACAAACTATGGCATCCTATAATTATAATAATACTTACACAAGACTTGGACAACACTGGAGGTAAGCAGTTTCACTTTCACTATTACTAACAAGTGCTCAACAGACTGCATTTAAAAAAAGAGAAAAAGCAAATACTTCATGATGTTTTCAATTTTATCTACAGCTGGTGACACCATGCTGGTTTTTCATCACATCATTAATTTTTAAAGATTTGTCAGATTGTCCCCCACTTAGTACAGAAGACAAATATTCCACAAAGCCCTCACCCCCCCCCCCCCAATAACACCCCTTACCCTTAAATTAAAACATCCACCCCACCCACCCTTCCCCTGTTTTCTACAGGTATCTAGCAGCATATTAATGAATGAAAACATTCAACAGCATTTCCACTATTTTCTCCACTCTTGATTGCCAATCAGAAGAAAAAAGTTTTGAAAGAATTTAAAAACCTCTGACAATTCACCAAGGTAGGTCTACTGAATTTTCAATGACCCATTTTTTTTTTTACTGAAAGAACACAAATTGCCAAATAAATGCTTATAACTTGTCTGCTTATATCATGCTGCATGTTTTATACCACACACATTTTCACTCCAACTGCAAATGAACAAAAAAGTCAAGTTTTGGCGATTTGTATAAGCAATCAAAATATCTACCTTCATTTACAAGCACCCTATGCGTATTGGTTCTCCACTCCACTTCCTACTGTACAACTCTTCTCAAACAGACAAATGAAGTGGAGAGCAGCATTTTACCAATACAATTAGGCCAACGAGAAGAGGAAGAGACGCACAATTTATTATAATATATTACCTCTATGTGTAGTTGTGCAGAACCTTTGGAAGTTTATTCTTATACATACCTTGTTCAATACCCCATAATAAATCCTAACCCCCTTAAAAAAATTAACCCTTCATATACTACACAACCAAGACCCTTTCCATTCTGAACTTCATTCACGCCAAGGTGCAACTTTGGTCTGTATCATAAACTTTTCATTTTCCAAATTTACTTCTGAACTCATGTCAATCCACAGATCATAACCATGCTAATGAATGACCAGTAAGTAAGCATGAATTAGAAATCCAGTCTTTTATAATGAAATGTGTATTATTACATAAGCTGGATGTTGAATAATAGTCATGAACATTTCAACTGTGTGATCATATAATACTCAACAGTTATCAAATGATCATTTAGTTTTGTGTTAGCAGGGGTTCCTGTTATATACTTAGGGCGCATTCCCATAGATTTTAGATCGACCTATCCCCGTGGGGAGTCTCACTAGATTACTGTCAGATAATCCGGCTTAAATGTCCGTCCCGCCTACTACAAGCTGTAAAGGGGTAATTAACTTTCGTGTCCGCTCGGCTGCCAGCTATTTAGCATGAACCCCCAGGGAGTTAGGTTGATCTAGTTGGATCGATCTAATCTCTGGGAATGGGGTCTTAGTGTGAGGTTAACAGTTACTTCAAAACTGGTCAGGCACTTTCTCTAAGCATTCTACTAGTACACGGACAGTCTACAATTTTTGCCAATCAATTTGCTTGTGTGAAATGATATTTTATTTTAAATGGTACACACCTGCAGGGCTATTAATTTTGGCAACCCTGCATCTTTGTTGGGATCTGCACCTCCCCCCCCCTTCCAAAAAAAAAAAAAAAATGATCCCCACCTTAACAGCATGGTTAGTAGATAAATGTGCAAACAGAAGTCCTTTTTAAATATAACATTGTTAAGCTGGGTCCTTGAAATAGTCTTGAATTATATCCCTTTTCAACCACTCTACACCACCCAAATCAACACATGGTGGTATCCTAAAAAATTCAGCCCAAGATTTACATCTACAATATCTTGTACATTCTAACTATTTACATTAAATATATTTCATAGTCATATGTATATATTTATATATATATATTAGAAAATAAGCAATATACCTAAAATACACCTTGGGTTTGAAGTACCTTTACACCAAAAAGAAAGAGAATATTAAGCTTCAATGTGCAAAGTACCATATAATTTTCCATTCATAACAGACGACATTGCAAGTGCAACAACAAAAAGCAGCAATGAATTCTGGGTAAGTTATCCCATAATATTCAGCATCACGTCTTTCCCATAATTTCAAAAACTTTCATACTTTTTTCTTGCCTTTAGTTGCAATATTAACGTTCTAACTACTCATAATTGTGCTCTTATCTGGACGTAGAGTAATCACAATTTAAAGGAAAACATCACCGACTCTCTCTCGAGCAGGTTTTTTGACAAGATTTTCAATTTTTCTGTAGATTTTTTATAACTTATCATTTCTGTAACTTATTATATATTTAAAGTGAAATGTTGGCAGGTATAATTTTCATTTCTATTCATTTGGAATATTTCTGTCACAAGGTTACGTAACTACTGGGAAAGTCTGATTAAATAAACAAACTTACTAGATTGCAGCAAGACAAGTTTGTATTATAGCAATTTATACGTCGAAGCATTTAAGTATCATTTGTAACAATACACTGTGCCAGACAAGTTAGTACAGTGAGCAGTCTACAGGCATCATAAATCGCCCCTTGCTATGCAGTGTGCTTATAAATACGATGCCTTCCTTTCAGGATATCTTAATCATTCACAGTAATAAAATTTTGAAATACTCTGGAGCCGATGCTTTCAACTGGGTTTCCCTGCTCAGTGCAATACGGACATAAACGAACAAGACACTTATTTTCTCCTAAAGATGGCAGCACTGGTCCCAAAGCACCTTCACAATGACATCGTGGACTGTGTCATGCAGTTTCAATACATTTTTTTATCACGTCACACACTTCAAGCATGACTGTTCCAACAAGTTCCTAGTCTAATGTTCACCTTTCTACACACACTGCATCAAAAATCCTTCCAGTCTCACAATGTTCTATCGAGTGGCACATCTTTTTATCACCACGATACACAATATGGCTGACCACCATGCTTGTAGCAGTTCCAATGCTTCGACCAGTTTTGAAACTGCACAAAAAAACACCTTCCTTGTCTCACCTTTCTCCATCAGATCAGTTTATACACAGCATTTTTCACAATGATGCACAATTTGCCTGTGTCCAATCTTCTGGTTAAATTTCCACCGTCTTAAATTGCAGCAAATATATCCGGGTCTCACAAATTGCAGAGATACTTTGGTCATACATAACTGGTCATATATTTATATATATAACTGTAGTACCTCCCAAATGTATAATATAAGAAGGGTTAAGGCAGTTCTAGTACTGGTCACATTCTCCAAGCAGGGAGACCCAAACATGGCTACGTAGTACAGTTATCATAGAAGGCTGAGCATTATGGAATTCTAAACGGTATGATATGGTATACTATCAGATGTTAAAGGAAAGGATTTGTGGAACCTCCCCTGGGAGCTGTGGACTGCTGGGCGGCCATGTTCTGTGGATAAAAAAAAATCAAAAGATGCACTGAGTTGATACTCTCTCTCTATTGCACTATTTAAATGTGTCAGGCCCCATTAAAAAAAAAAAAAAAAAAAAAAAAAAACTCATGTCAGGTTCTCTTGCTAAGTTACAAGCGCACATCTTACCTTATCAGGAACAGCGTTTCAGCACTCTCATGGAAATCCTAGTCAACTTAGCCAGAGAACCGACTTCAGTTCTTTTGTGAAACTGGGGCCAGGTCTTAATATTTTGACATGTGGTGACAAGAAAGTGACAAGAACCTCCACTTCTTTATCTTTAAAACAACTTAAAATCTACTATAATAATTAGAGAAAATTCTGTTTCAACTAAACATTTTCATCCGGTGTAGTCATAACTAAACAAGTCAGATACAGCTGATTTTCATTCAAGCTACATATCATCACTTGGATGTTAATATGAAACAAAATAAAAATAAATAAAATAAAAAATAATTCAATAAAAATGAGAAATTACCATGAAGGGGTTGGCAGCAGGCTGTTGTGCCCCCCATCCTCCTCCTACAGTTTGTTGTGGCTGCATGCCAAACCCCCCTCCTGGTTGACCCCCTGCCATCCCTGGGGATTTAAACTGTCCTGGCATAGAACCAAAACCACCCATCTGACCTTGACCTTGACCCCAGCCTTGACCTCCGGCACCAAAAGCACCATTGGGCTGTTGTGCCCCAGTCCCAAATTGCTGTCCACCTCCGAACTGACCGCCAGGTGCAGTGGTCATCATGGGCTGGGTTTGAAACTGACCGCCGAACTGACTTCCCATCTGGGTGGACTGGGCACTACTGCCGAACTGGCCAAAACCACCTGCTCCCGTGGACACTGGTTGCTGTGTACCAAACTGGCCGAACTGACCGCCCGAGCTGGCTTGACCGAACCCGCCAGCAGTGGCCATACTGGTGTGAGCTTGACCACCAGGGAAGCCGCCCCCTCCACCGCCACCTGCCCCGCCCATGAAGGGGTTGGCCACAGGTTGTTGAGTAAAAGCTGAGGATACGGGGCCTCCACCCCCGGGGCCTCCTCCAAATGGGTTTGCCGCACCCTGGGGTTGCCCTGCAAGGATATCACAAGGAACACTATCAATAACTAGCATTAACTTTATCCTAGCAGCTATGTCATTCTGGAAATATCAAAATTTGAAGATTCAATTATTTTGTGCAGTTTGGTATGAAAGAAAATAGAAAAATGTAGAGAAAACTATTGACTGAGAATCAGGAATTGCATGTAAAAATCCACAAACATTCCAAATTCAGAATTCAGTTCAAATCTCTGTATGTTTAAACTTCACAATATAACTGAGTTGTAATTATGTTTGTTCCAGACATTGCTTCGCTCGGTCTACTTTGAAAACTGGGGTATGAAAAAAATCAATAATACCTCAATTGAAATCTACAGGGAAATCAATGTTCAAAATCTGACAGGTGAAAAACCAAGTAGCAAATAAAATGGTATGTCTTAAATAATAATTATAATTTTTAAAAAATTGATACTTTCATTTATTACTATCTTCATCATTTGCCACATTACCTCTCTGTATAAAAGGATTGGTGGGTACTCGACCCCAACAGATATTATCATTGGAATGGCTACTAGCTGAATAGAGAGTTATCATATAGCCATAGTATACAGAAAAAGAGCTACTATATATCTACTTGCTGGCTATTCTATTTATTGACCAAATTTCCAGTGAAGTTGTGACCACTCAACTTAGGTCATACTATCTCAAAAAATTTAACCAGTTTTACAAAGGAGCTTTGGCTGAAAATTGGTCTGCTAAATTCCAAAATTTTGGTCTGCTTCAGTTCAGTATAAATGCGCAAAAGTCTGCCTAAAATGAAAGCCACAATTTGAGACATTAGGGAACATGGCATTTTTGTTATAAAAAAACCCCCAAAGTGTCATTAAAAAAAGGTTTAAAAAAAATAAAATTTTGTTCTAAAAATTAGTTCAGGCTCATTTTGGTCCAATAGTTCTTTCAAGAAACATGAACTTGCCCCCACCCCTCAAATTATTGGTGGCAAAACCCTGTCTTTTTGTCCACTGTTACTGAGATTGTGACAAGTCACATGAGATTGAATTGGTTTCTGTAAGAAGAAAGGAGAGAAAATAGCTGTTTACACCACAATTTGACTGGAAATATGGCCTCACTATAATATATAGACTGTTAGTTCTCTTGCCAGCTGTCTTGTATATTAGAAATGAGAGAGTAATTTTTAAAAATTACTAGAGTTAAAATGTGTTGTGATTCTTTATTACTCCTTAATTCCAATGTATTTAATTGGAAACTTGTTAAATTACTTTAATGTGAAAGACCTGTGATACTTAGATCTATTTTAATGATTTAAAAAATATCCAAGGTGTTAGTAGAACTATTTTGAGCATTCAACAGACCAAAAAGGTTTACTTCATTCCGTTAGTTTGGATAAATGTTTACTCAACATGGGAAGCAATCTTTTGAATGAATGGCAAACTCATGAATGGCGAACTAAAGCAGTAGTGAAAATTCATTGTTAGTACCCATTTTCACAAATGAAAATACCAAAGGTATTAATTTTCAAATTTCAATAATCTTTTGCAGTGGGGGAGTGGGCTGGGCATGAGTTGAAGAAATGAAAAATGAAGAAAACCAATGAGAGAAAATGGTAAACTCTTAACATTTTATAAAAAAAAAATAATAATAAAATAATAATAATAATAATAATAATAATAATAATAACTATAGGGAAAACATAACTACAAACGTGTTTTGGATATACTAGACTTTTGTTTTCTTAAAAATTAATCTTTTTTTTTTCATTTTACCCGAATTACTCTTTTTCATTTCTTAAAAGAGTAATAAAAATTATAATTTTTATTCCTTACTCCTGCGCTTACACTACATACAGTCCTTGATGGCCCTGATATTCCACTACTATTGCAAGTGAGCTTAAATGATGTGTTGCAACTGTGTACGCACATAAAATGTGCACATATTTAATACGTAGGGGATGGTATCAGGTACAGGCATGATAGGGGTGAAGTTTTGGAATAGGACTACTGTAACAACAAGTTCTGTGACTGACTTAGACGTTGTTTATGACATAATTTGAACTTTCAGTGAAAAAGAAAAACTGCATCATTTTTAAGGAATTGAGTTTGGATTTTCTTTTAATTGGATGGATAACACTGACACTGGCTACCAAGTGCCCAAAAATAAATAAATAAATAAATAAAAATCTGGTTTTACAAAGTGTATTGCACCAGGAATTTGACCTGCAAGTAAGAACTTTATATATGTTTATGTAAACAAAAAGCCCAACCTCTGTCCCATTGCCATAAACCATTAGTAAAGCGTTGAAATATTATATAAATAATAGGAAATAATATGCATAAGATATTATGACTGTATTTTTTTCTAAGCACAACTTCTTGCATGAAAAGTCTTGTCATGCACCTTGATAAATGTCTGCCTTTCATGCAGCATTCTTTGGATTATGAAAATTTCAAAGAATAACAGCAATTGCAACATAGTTTATAGATATAGAAAGGAGATCAACAGCGTATGCAACTTTCATGCATTCAGTATAAAATAAATTTGCAACAGTAAACATAATAACACCTAACTTGCATGAAGAAATTCAAAGTAACAGATACACAGTGTTAAAGCAAGAGGAACAAAATGCCTGTCATACCTGCCCCACCAAATACAGACGAGCTAGCTGTCGAAGTCGCCCCAAATGATGATGCAGCGCCCCCTACACCAGTGCTCCAACCACTTCCGCCACCCCCTCCGACACTACCCCCAGTGCCAGGGTTACTCCAATTCACGCCACCACCGCCAGCGCCACCTGCTGGCCCGTCCCAGCTGACGCTCTGCACCACTGGCGCAGTCTCGGCCTCGGGTGAACTGAACAAGTCAGCGAGAGCCGCATATTTGTCAGTAGAGGACGTCATGGCAGCAGACGAGGAGGCGGGCACCGGAGCGCCACCTAGACCTGGGGCAGCGGCAGGGGCGGCTGTGGCTAGGTTAGAGGGACTTAGCATGGTACCCTGTTGGCCAGCAGGAGGAAAGCTACCAAATGCATTAGTTGCTGCAGATGGCTGTGGGGGAACACTATTGAATAATGCTGTAAGCAGAGAAGAACAACAGAGAAAATCATAAATAATGATATATATATGTATATATTAATATGTAGAACAGTATAAGGCCCTTTGCATATTGTGTGGTACACTTAATTGGATAGATCCATTTTGAAAGTGTGCCATCTTTACCACCTGGCTGTTACCAAAAAACAGCTCCAAATTCAGCCAGTTTTTAAAAAATTATGAAAGGCATTAAAACACCCTGTAATTATATAAAAAAAACTCTCAAAATTGACCAATCCAGTTAAGTGTACAGCTCAATGTGAAAAGGTCAAACCACCCTGAGTTACATAGTACTGACATGGACATTCCCCTCACCAAAACCCCTCAGCTGTGATGACTTCAATGTCAAGAATTAGGGTGACAAGGGACGCATTTAGAACAAGTTGATCCCTGGAATAACAGACCCGCAGATCAAATATGGTCAACCCACTTGAAAGCATGCCACATAATCCCCTAATAGACAGACTCACTGAATAGATTCCCTGTGGGGATTAAGCAGTAAGTTTTAAAGTGGGTCAGCCATACTTCCACCGTGGATCCATTGGTCCGGGGATCAACTTTGGTTCTGAGTGCAGCCAAAGAGATCGTTAACACAGGATTTTATGTATTGAAGAAAATTCCAAGACCCAAGGATCACCATCAACCTGCCACTCAGACTACAGTTAGGGTATTATATCTTATAATAAAATACATATATATATATATGTGTGTGTGTATATATGTCCAGTTCAACTGCACTGTACCAAAACAACTGTCTTCAACCAATCAAGATTCAAAACAGATTGGCAATCATTTAACACAAAATATCTCAGAGTTTGGTCTTTTTGTTCCTTATTGTTATAATAACAAATTTATACATGCTCACCTAAAAAAAGCCCTTTAAAGAAGCAATCAAAAATGTTTCTAAGCGTAAAATACATAAATATTAACAGTTGGTTTGGGGGCAGTTTAGTTGAGCTCACAAATCTGACATAGTATTTCCATCTTACACTGAACAGTGTTGTAAGACATGGTGGTACTGGGGGAGAATCCCATTCTTGGCTGCATGTAAACTACAGAATACACAAATTACAGATCAGTATGACTTAAACATTTACAGGACGAAAAAGACATATAATACATTTTCTAATGACGTGGTCACGAACAGCCGATATTCAAAATCTGATTACCAAGTAAAAAGCCTTCTATATTAACCTTTATCTATGATTGCATTACTGGAGAGTTTATTAATATATTCTATATGAGGAATATCTGCTCTCTAAAGAATGACACTCCTGTAGAGCTGCTGAATACATGCTAATGTGTCATCCAATTCACACCTGCAACCACCTATCAAATATCTTATATGACACATCTATTCCATTAACATGCACTATACATTCATTCCCACAAAGATGCCGTGAAAAGAAAAAATCCAAATAAAAAATAATTACTCATGAAAAATAATTTTAAAAAATGCTTATGCTTTCAACATGCTGGGTGATGTGGATATGACCACTAATGCTAACTAATATGTAAATCATGACAGCTTTCTTTCTATCATTTTTTTTATTTCAAACAAGTTGTTTGGTTTAGATTTAGAATGTTTCTTTCTGCACGCAGTAATGAAGGGGAGGGACCAACTTACATGTTGACTGAGCAGGGCTAGCAGCAGGAAAAGATGGCTGACCACCAAATGCACCAAAGTCTGCAAAACCACCACCAGATGGTGCTACAAGAAAAGACAACATGAAGATGTTACTAACATAGAAACAAAAGGTCAACTCATGGATCATTACTACTATTCATTAATACTTCTTCATAGTTAAAAAAAGCAGCAATTTTGCATTTCTGTTTCTTTTTACCCCTCAAAATATGTACATTACTGACAAAAATTAAACTGTATATGTTTTACTGAAATAACTGATATGAAAAGGATAAAAGGACAACCCAGCACTCTTAGTCAAAAAGAAAATGAACATAGATGGAGGCTTCAAACCAAGACTAATCTTAACATGTAACAGGGGTCAAAACAGAATTTGGGCAGGACTGGCCAATACGGACCAGTGGACCTTAGAGGTACTGGTCCGTACCAAGAAGTACTGGTCCGTAAAATTTTACGTTAAAAATTAGTAGTTTCAAGCCACTAGATATAACGAAAACGCATACATGTTTAACATCCATTTTTATTTCTATATGATTATCAAAACACATTCATATTCCAGTCAGTTCCTTTAACTGTTTGTACACATCCTCCTCTGCTAGCTCATCATCATCATAATATATAAAAAATAAAATGGATATATAAAAAATTATTATGAAATAAATAACTTCTACATATATCCATATTTTAATCTTAAAAAATTAATTTAATTTTTATTGCCGGGGTTGAACACGAAACGAAAAAAACTTCTCTCAAACTTTACTAGCCCTAACCAAAAAACACTAGCCCAATTTAAATAATTCATTTAAAAAGTTTAAGCAGATGCTGTAAAGAGTTGTGGTACCATACTGTACTTTCTTTAACCTTATTATAGAAGTAGAGCAAGTGAATAACAAAGTCAATCAGGTTAATTTCCAGTTGATGGGGTGGTAAAATTAATTAAAGATATATTTAATTCTTTAAATATTGAAAAAATTCTTTTTTTTTTAATTTGTCATACTGAATATAGTTACCCTTACTTTTCATATTTTTATTATATCTTTTTTTCCATTTTTTATATGCAATCAAATCTTTTTTTTATTTTTATTCCTATTCTTTTTATTGACAATGGCTCTTTTCTGACAATTTATTTCCAATTACATCGGTATATAATGCCACTTCTAATTTAAAATACATAGGTGCTGTAAGGGTAATTAAACAAACGTCTTACAATTTTTTTGGTAACAATTCTTTTGGTTATATATTTGTAAAAACAACTTTTCAAGGACTTTACCAGGACAAAGTGTGGAGGGGTAGCCATGGCATAAACCGAACTATCCCACATTGTCAAGAATAGTTCATAGGGTATTTATGTAACTGCCATGTATTTACTCATGGACATTAAAATTATAAATAAAAAATATAAACAAAAAAGGAAATAGAACACTCCACCCCTCAGTCTGCTAAGTGGTCCTAACCTAAATGTTCTATGAGATAACGCATACATTACACTTGCTTCGGAGACGATGTTGTTTTGACAAAACCTGTTGCTAGTACCAAAGAATTCTGGTCTGATCCAGTTTCTTGATTGACGGCAATTTGTAGTCATGACAACAAACTGGTCAAATAAAAAGATGCCGACACGCTGATCAGACAGACTGCTACTATTTATAACTACAGTGAAGTTATTTATAGCAACTAATCAATATTCAGTAGTTTGAGCTAGGTGTGAGTTTTTTTCAACTGAGAGGCATATCATACTATCTAGAAACGTCAAATTAGAGGCAGGGACAAAGAAGACTGGCGACTCATATTTTTGAAATCTTACTGAGTGTTAAAATAGGTTCAAAATTACAGCTAGTGCTTTATAAAATTTCAACTTTTTTACTAGCCCGGTGCCACTTTAGGTGGGCAATTGCCTCCGGCTAGTGCTTAACGTCGCAGACTGTGGGTTTGGCAACGATGTTCGGCACTTTCCAGCGGTCGCCAAAACGGACCAGTACCCCTGACAGGTAGTCGCCCGGGACGTTTCTAAGTCGCATTGGCGAGTGGGCGACCGTCTGTTTCGACCCCTGCATGTAAGAGGCAAAGCAATAGGTCTGCAGCAATATTCCCCAACTGCATATATATCCATTTCAGCCACCAGATGGAGTCTACACCCAAGACAAGCTAATTCCACACTCACCTTGCGGTGCTGCAGGAGCAGCAAAAGGGTCTCCCCCTAAATCCCCCAGCAGGTCCATAGCCGAGGACTTTGGTTGTTGTGGCTGCTGTGGAGGTGACTGTACTTGTTGTTGTTGTTGTTGTTGGGGTGGCGGTTGTGCTGCTGATGGTTGCTGTTGTGGCTGTTGTTGTTGTTGCTGTTGTTGTGCAGCAGCAAATGGAGTAGGTATTGCACCTGGGGCCGCTATCCTCTGTGGCTGACTACCTTGCTGGGACTGGAAGGAGAATGGAATGTATTTTTTTACTTTCATTGTCTCTTGTATGAAGGCAGTAAATTAAAAATTGATTGAAATGGCTCACGTATGTTTAGTGCCTTTAGAAACAATTGGCTTTGTTCTACAACACAAGATTGTTGTGAGATTTTTTTTCTTTTTAAGTGATTATTTTTTCTTTTAAGACCACTTTGTATCACACTTCATAGTTTAATTAAATCAATTTCAGCTAATTTCTAAATATCACAAATATTACATTTTTCACAAATATCACATTTTTCACACTGGTTGCACATTTCTTAGAAAAAGTCTAAAAACAGATGTGATTTAGAAGTAACAATCCGCACATATATTTTATAAATATTGAGTAAGTTTTAAACATATCAGTTGTATTCTTCCTTAAATATAAAACATTTTCATTAAATAATAGGGCTACTGAACAAAAAGAGGTGACTAAAAATTAAGACTTATCTCATTTAGATAAATAATCAATCATACATAAGTCGATAACCATGGTATATTAATAATATTCTTACTATTTGTCAAATTATTTACTTCAAATTTTATATTCACCAAATACATAATTTGAAATTACATGTATGATAATAATAATAATAATAATAATAATAATAATAATAATAACAATATGGTAATTTATTAAAAATCAATGTTAAAATCACAATTAAAATCATCTACCTTATTTGGCTGTATAACTAGCTTTGGTGCATTACTTCCTACCAGTGTACGTAGAGGTTTTGTTCCGTCGTCTCTGGACACTGTATTCAACTGCTTGGCCTCTTCTTTCATACTCTCCGTAGGGGCCACGTACCAGCGCTTCTTTTCATATTTTTGAACCATAAAGTCTTTTATTTTCTGTTCGTCTTTGTGATTAAATTCAGGGGTGGATCTGGCGTCATAAAGACCTAGGTAGACTTTCCGACAAAACTGAAATGGAGAGAATATGTTTGTTTGATATAGAATTACAAGTGTGTGTGTATAATGTCTTAGACTTTTACCTAAGTTCTTGTACCTTGATTAGGCTGTATGTATATCAAATTTGGACAGACAAAGTGTTGGGTACAACAATGCGAAAATAATGTGCTGGTTGCAAACGAAATGCTGTTAGGTGAATCAATTACAGCGCAATTGCTGTGACATTGTATCAGTCCTTACATTTAGTCCACAATCCCAGTGTCTTAATTTTAACTGTAAGAACATCAGGCGTGTCATTGATATTGTGTAAGCTGTGACGGCATGGCAGTTGTGACAGTGATGGCAATATTGTGCTAGTTGTGACAGTACCAATGTGTTGGCTGTATCAGTTAGAGTGTGTTAGGTGTGACAATGGTGCGCAATCCGTACCTCATTCCCATGACACTGTAAGAAGTCCATTTCTTCAGGAGTAAAACTAGTCATAGAAATTGACTTTACTCTGTATGGGGGATTCAGGCCACGTCTGAAAAGAAGAAAAAAAAATTAGTATCACAATTGCCAGAATCACATAAATTACATCACCACGTTAAAAAAATTTCAAACCATTTCAGTTTATAACTATGTTTCCCTCAAACCAATTTATTCTTGTAATGCAATACCTAATTTTTTTTTCTTTTAAGAAAATTGTATTAAAAATCATTGACAAAGAAATATTTCACACCCAGTGTGGTGGAAGAGGGGCAGATGTCCCATTATCTTCCAAAATTGGAGATGAGGCATTCTCTTCTCCCACAATACTTCAATTATTATTATTATTATTATTATTATTATTATTATTATTATTATAGCAATAATGATGATATTTGCTTAGGTAGGGGTTGAGAAAAAGGCGCAAAGTAAATTTCTTGTCCATGCTTCGCATTAAACGATATTCTGAATCAACAAGTAATTCTCACAATGCTCTTTTATATCTCCTCAATTGATCCGCCTTGTCCCTAACGACAGTTACCATGAGTATTTCAGTCACATTAAGTGTGCCATTTTTAGAATCAATTCACCAATTCTCTCGGGGTGAGAAACAAAAATTCACATTACTTTCATTTCCATCATCACCCACAGTTCTACTGGATCAATAAACAGGTTGAATTGTATTCGTCTCTTGGGCCATTCAGTCATGTCTAATTTTTGGCCGAATAACAAATATTACGTGCCAAATTTATGATAAGTTAATTACGGTGACATTTAACAAAAAATCCCATTTCTTCAGCCAATGTACTGGTATATCAACTGAAGCAATTGACAGAAAATTGCATGCAACAGTTCTTGTGCATTCAACAGATAACATGAGTCACTTTTTTTCTGCCTACCAGGCATTGATCCAAAACTGAATAAATCAGTTTTTTTTGTTTTTTTTTTGTTTTTGCTTTTTTTTTTGTTGTTGTTGTTTTTTGTTTTCTTTTTTCTTAATCAAACATACTCACCGCCTCATCTCATTGCAATACATTTCATTATCTCTAATCAAGCGGTCATTACTGTAACTATGACCAATAGACAATATCACACAGACAATTACAAAAAAAAAAAAAAAAAAAAAAAAATCAAAAATTTCACATGCATTATAGCACCCATGTTCTCATTTAATGTCTAAAGACTTTTTTTAGTTTAAGCCCATTTGAAGGCAGCTAAGGATCCTAGAATGGCCTATTATCAAACTTATTCAATCCATCAAGCCATAACAAATATTAGCAATGGTTGTCGTTCACAATCTGGCCTCATCGTACCATATGTCACATTCACAAAGTGTGTGTAATGATTCACTCTGATAAAAGAGAATAGGAAACGCTGTTTCAATTGACACCCTGCTCCCTCGATATTTATTTATTATCACTTTGATGAAAATTGTCTTCATGAGATCTAAGACTGTCTTTTACTTCTCGGTTAAAAAGAAAGAGTTTGCATTACAACTAAACACAGTCAAGGGCAAGTTTCAAATAGGGCTCCTAAATGAAAATATGGGTATTAAAATCATTATCAGTTTATCAATGTGAAGTCTTTAGCTAATCAGTGTTCATCACCCAGGCTTACATTCTTTACACAGACATAGTGATACATACCCATGTACATGCACACTCGCGCACACACACACGCACACAGACACATGCACACGTGCGCACAAACACACACACGCACACACACTGACAAAAGGTCCTACAGGATAAGCAATAATCACACACAATAATCAAGATCAAGTGGTTCTTCTTGACATACATCAAGTGTACTTCTCTTATCATTCATATTCATTACTAGTTAATAGTAACGGTTACCTTTAATAAGTTCTGTTAAGATAACAGCTTTGGACTGACAATTGTTCATCTAGAGTGACACTATTTTTATCTTTGTCAGTGAAAATGGCTGGCAACACCAGCAAGGTTTCCACTGTTGGCAATGGCATATCTGAGAAAATGTGGTACTTCATAAAGCTGCATTCCAAAATGATACAGATCTCTCAGTTGTTTTTGATAGAAAACAAAATCAAGAGAAAACTACTGTAATTGACTGTGTTTGTGTGTGTGT